AGCTGAAGCTATGAAAGCGAACAAATAAGAAGACATTCCGCAACTGGGGAGACATGTTTCAACAGAGAAAGCAGTGCTTTCCAAACTAGATTGAAAAAAAACATTTTTGTTGCACAACTGTTGTTGGCAACCTGGATCCGGATGTGAGCGAGTAGGTCTGGAAGGAAGAGCCCAGATTTAGACGCTCAAGCGTTGACTTGCTGTTTTTTCTGCCAAAAAAACAGCATCTGATGGAGGTGGGAGGGTTCGATGATTGGAAAGGACGAAAAGATTACGTGATTCTGGTTGTACACAAATCAGCCTTTTTCAGCCAGAAATGGATACGATGGATTTAAATATGAGAAGACAGAAAGAGATAGATTGAAATGGATTTTCGTATGTAAATATGCAAGCATACAGGTATCTAGATCCATAGGGAAGAAGGATAGGGACTTAAGTATACCGATACATAGATTTAGATATAGATATGCACAAGATAAAAAAAGATAAGTACATGCAGACATACATAGGTCAAGCTTAGAAACTTAAAGATATTCTGATATATAGATATGTAGATATGACTAGATATAGATATCTCTTTCTATACAAATATATAGAGTCTTAAAGATATACAGATTTTTTACATAGATATTTAGATATATAGATATTTAGATATTTAGATAAATTTGAATTTAGTTTTATAAACAGAAGGTATATTGATTTATAGATATATAGACATACAGCTTTCAAGATATATCCTTGAATGGACCTGCAGATATTTAGATACGATAAATAACCACATAAAAATGTGGACATACTCATATCTGGATATGTAGATTTTGGGTGTACGGATTTGGGTGTACGGATCTATAGATCTTGAAATATATGAGTTTATAGTTTATAGATCCGTAGATTCGAATATATATCGATATATCGAATATAATAGATACTGATATAGCTATATAGGTATGCAAATATATGTACACAGATATATGGATATACAGATAAAAAGATAAAAAGATACAGTCATACAGGTACACAGATACAAAGACATATAGATATGTAGATATATTATAATAAATGGATATATACGTGGTTATATTGATGTACAGACATATGGATGTAAAGATATACAGATGAAAAGAAGTATTTGATATATAGATAAATAGATACCATCTTATAAAAATGTATACATCTGTATACTCGATCTGTAGATATACAGATATAAGTATCTAGATTCATAGAAACAGAAAATCATATAAAGGTAGTTAAATACAGATAAAAAGAGTTAAAGATATTTACACACGTAGGTATATAAGTTTTCAGGAATGTCGGTATATAGATATAAAGATGTATTTAGACCTTTAGACCTTTAGATAAATAGAAGCAAAGACAAAAAATGATGTATTTTTTTAGATATGTAGACATATAGAGACGTAGAGATGTAGAGATGAGAGATACATCTATATATAGAAAGAAGTTTGGGGTTTGTTGACATGTAGATATGTAGGTTTGCAAGTATGTATGAATATACATATCATTGCTCTACATAACGATATATGTCACATACAACTATGTAGAGAAATACATATGTAGATATATAAAGATATAACAAATGTATAGAGATGTGGATATACAAGTACACACAGTTATAGATTTGTAGATATGTAGAGATATATATATATATATATATATGTTGAGAAATAGATATACAGATATATAGATGAATACAAACAAATCTAGATAAATACAGATAAACAAAGATAAACATCGATAAATATCGATTTAGATAGATAGAAAGACCTATAGATATGTAGATATCGAGATATACAAACACATTAGTTTATAGGTAGGTATATATATATATATACATATATATATATATATATACGTATGTGTGTGTGTTTTCCCCAAACAGGAACCGTTCCCTTCAGAAGAAAAACGGAACGCGCCTGCCGGGATTTGGGCAGGTCCGGTTTCAGCAAGCCGCACAAGGCTTGCTACACACGTTCGGATTTCCTCTCAACTTTTGTAGAACTCAATGCAGTCCTTAAAACCCGCAAATCCCTTTGAAATGCTTTGGTTTTGTTTCCCGGACCAAAAATAGATTTTTCAAGGCTTGGAAACGTATTTTGAGTTCCAAATCCATTTTCCAAGGCCCGTTAAACGCATTTGGCTTTCGTTTCAACAAATCTCGAGCTCCGTGGAATCCCTATAGACCCGAGAATCGTACGGAACATGTTTTGGTTTGGTCCCAAAAATGCATTGTTCAAGGCTTGGAAAATGCCTCCCCCAACCCAAATCGAGCGAAACTTCCGAACCCAAGCCCAATTGCATTTTCCAAGGCCCGTTAAACGCATTTGGCCCAGGTTTAATCGCGCTGAAAATGCATAAATTTGGTTTCCCGCGCCCCAACATGTTCAAGGTGTGGACGCGCATTTAGCGCTGTTTCAGCTTTGCTGGCGGCCTTGGCCGCTCCCCGACGCTTCAATCGAGCTCTCGAAGCCACCGACCAAGCCCAAATGCATTTTCCAAAGCCTGCGGAATGCATTTGGCGTCACTAAATCCGGAGCTCAAGCCGTCCTTGCACTTAAAATTCATTCGCCGGACGATTTTTGGTTTAGGGACGGCATTGAACTCTAGATTTGCTGAAACAAGCTCGAAAAATGCTTTTTTGGAGTCTGGAAACCAAATTAAATCATTTTCGGTGCGATTTTCGGGTGCAAGGACGGCATGGAGCGCCGGATTTGGTGCAACCAAGGCCAAATGCGCTTCTCAGGCCGTGGAAAATGCAGGCGTGGCCGGTGGCTTCGCGCTCCATAAACAATCTGGAACGGGGCCAGGAGCACCAGCAAAGTTGAAACAGCTTTAAATGTTTTCCAGTCCTTGAAACATGCATTTTGGAGTTTGGAAACAAAATTAAAGCATCTTCGGTGCGAGTTTGGTGGTGTAGGGACTGACGGCATTGAGCTCCGGATTTGATGGAACCAAGGCCAAATGCGTTTCTCAGGCCTTGGAAAATGCATTTGGGCTTGGTCGGTGGCTTCGAGACCTCCATTAAAGCATCGGGAATGGAGGACCAGCAAAGCTGAAACTGATTAAAATGCGTTTTCCAATTTTTCAAAATGCATTTTGGAGTCTGGAAACCAGTTTTGTTTCCAGGGCCCCAACATGCATTTTGCAAGGCTTGGAAGCCGCATTTAGAGTTTTTTCAGCTTTGCTGGTGTTCCTGGCCGAGTCCCCGAACCCAAACCGAGTTCCCGAAGCCTCCAACCAAGCCCATTCCAAGGCCTGCTAAACGCATTTGGTTCTGGTTTCAACATATCTGGGGCTCAATGCCGTCCGTCCCTACTACACCGCGAAATTCGCACCGAAAGTGCTTTAGTTTGGTTTCCAGGGCTCCAATCTGCATTTTGTGTCAGATGCCCTTAACCCCAGAAAATCGCAACGAGAATGCTTCAAGTCGGTTTCCAGGCCCCAAAGTGCATATTTCAAAGCTTGAAACACGCATGTAAAGCTGTTTCAGTTTTGCTACTGCCCCTTGCCCCTCCCAACGCTTTGGTTAAGCCACCGACCAAGCCCAAATGGATTTTCCCAGGCCCGCTAAACGCATGTGGCCTTTGTTTCAACAAATCTGGAGCTCAATGCCGTCCCCGGAAATCGTTATTTTGCAAATGTAATTTGGTTCCCACATGCATTTTTCAAGGCTTAGTAAACGTCTTTAGAGCTGTTTCAGCTTTGCTGGTGTTCGTGGCCCCACAGTCCCCGATTGTATCTCTTCTGTCTTTGCGTCCATAGTGTGTGGGGTCTTCGCCGGCACTAGTTTCAGTACATATACATGTGGGTTTGCACTTCGAACTTACTCAGAACTTACAGTTCGAGATTTGTTTCCGAAATTCCACTTGCAGTGCCTAGTTGTTTGTTCCGACTGCAGCTGACACTGATCACAGAGTTTCATGCGCAGACTTGGGATTTTGGTCGGTGGTATGACAACAGAAGATTGCAGCTGGCATTCTCCACATTAACATGTTCGTGATTCTTGAAACTTGCAGATTTCTGGCTTCATTGATGTAAGTATGTAATGGTGAGTCTTAGCCAGTTTTCGCAGTCATTGTGTCAATCACGAGGTCAGCATTGTTTTCGTCACGTTGCTTGTTTAGGCTTGTGGATTGACGAAGCACATCTTCCTACACGTGTAGTGAGGGAATATCACGAAACTGTTCTACATCAACGGTTGACAACGGCGACGAGTGAAGGTCGCTTGGGTTTGACATGTTCGGAGGTCAGCATTGTTTCGTCACGTTGCTTGTATGGGCTTGTGCATTGACGAGGTACAACTTTTTACTCGTGCAGTGAGGGAATATCGCGAAATTGCTCTACATCAATGGTTGAGAACGGCGACGAGTGAAGGTTGCTTGGGTTTGACATGTTCGTGCCGGCAATTGCATCGTCGGATGGATGCGGCTGCTCCGACGTTCACGTCGATGCTGGAACACGATGAAGTGCGGTCTGCGAGGTTTTGGCGCTGGTGCAAGGACATTTCTTGATTCACGAGCTTGTTTGCCATCCCCCACTGGCATAGAACTAGTAACTAGATCAACAGCTTAGAAGTCCTTTTGGGCGGCATCGAGGAAAACCCATATTTTGTTCCTCTCTGCTCAGGCGCCGGTTCCACCTCCAAGTTCTTTTGTTTAGCATATCGGGACAATGCCACAGGTGCTTTTGCCGGCGTTGCTTCGGAAACCTTGCTTTTCCCTCTTGATTGTCCGGTGGCCCAGGGTGGCATGCATGCATCACGAGTTCTGAAACGTTGCATGCGCAAGGTCTCAAAACTCGGTTACAAAGCCGGCATGGCTTCATAGCTGCGCGGCTTGCATCTAATGCTGACTGCCTTGCCTTTTGTCGGAATCAATGAACAGGTTGAAATAACAATAATGCTGAAGCAGCGTTTTGATTTTCAACAGGATGATGGCAAGGAACCCAGCTCGTTCAACACCGGTCATGAAGACGACACGGATCAAACGCAGTGCTTTACTGACTTGCAGATGCGCGGATGTTGACGACGCAGTGTCGGATCATTGTCTCCGAACACACCGACATGGCTGGCCGGCCGGCGCAAGGCGTCGCCGTCGACGTTCTTGTCGCCGGTGCCCGCAAAAGCGAAATCGTCCACCCTGGCATGTCTTACACTCGAGTTCACTGGCACCTGCTGCTGGCGGTTTTTGGGGTTTTGACTATTCGTTCGTGTTTATGGGGTTTGCTCACAACCAAGACCGGAAGTTGTCCGGAAGGTGAAGAAGCAGTGGGGGCGCGGGTCTTCTAGCATCGTCTACTACGCTGATGCCTGCGCTTGTTTGGATTGTTGCCATCGCGGCCATACTGCAAGCATTCGTGTAAACTTCCGTGCACATGTCGCCGCAGTCCCGCATCGGCGTGCCCGCGCTCTAGTTATAGGGGGGACACCAGCACGGGTCCACCGCTCGACCGCGTCGACCTCGCAGAGGTAGTAGAGCAGGCTCTGCGCCCCTGTCGAAATGGGCGGTCAGTGGCCTTGCCTCCTCGCTGCTACCCAGGCAGCTATGCGGACTCCCGTCCACCTCGGGGAGCTGTCAGCCGCTGCACGGGCCCTCGTCTCCCAACCTCTCGCGCCGGGTTCCTCCAACACGCTCCAAGAGCTCCGTGACCCCGCGAATCGACCCCGAGCTCCTTATATGCACCTCCCGATCCCGAGATCCTCCAGCAGACTTTGCGCGTGCACGCGTAAGGAGGCGAGCGCTGCGAGTGCGGTCCAGCGGCGCGTGGGCGCGGCGATTACTGCGGCCCGCGCCCACGGGACCCGATCCCGGGTGCGAGCACAGCAAGCCGGCGGAGCAGCGCAACCGGTTGACGCTCGAAGCGCCCGCCGAGGTGCCAGCGCCGGTCGTCGCTGCCATCCGAGCCGGCCGCATTGTCGCCCTGCGCAAGCTCAACGGTCGTGTGCGGGTCCTTGTCGGCGACGTGAAGTCGGGCGCACAGTTGCGCAAGAGTATGCTTCTGACCTGCAAGCTGTGCATGCCCTTTCAGCTTGGCCTCAGCACCCATGCAGGCACAGAAGAGCTGGTCCGCCTCTTCCGCGTTGCCACTGAAATGGACCCGCGTGCGACCGTGCTGTCCATCGATGCAATCGGAGCGTCTCTTTTTTTTTTCATGTGTCTCGCCACGCGGTGCTTGCTGGCCTCAGGTATAAAGACCCAACTTGCAGCCGCTGCTGCCCTTTGTGCACCAAGTCCACGCCTCCGACAGCACGGACTTTGGGCAATTTGAGGGCAGTGAACAAGGCGACCCGCTTATGCCGGCTCTTTACGCCATTGCTCAACACCCAGCCCTCGCAGCGGTCCATGCGCAGCTGCCTGAGGGCGAGGCCGTTTTCGCCTACCTCGACGACATTTTGGTCATCGCAGTTCCCGAGCGCATCCGGGAGCAGCCGGACGCTTGCCAGTGCATCTCAACCGTGGCATAACCCGTATTTGGAACGCGGCGACGAACCCAGGACCGGGGATTGGTCTTTGCCGCGCCATCGCCACAAGGCCTTTTTGTTCTCGGCACGCCACTCGGTGCTGACGGGTACGCCCACAGCTTCTTGCGGACGGAGCACGAACGCCTCTTCATCCGCATCCCCGACGTCCCAGACCTGCAAGCTGCGTGGCTGCTGTTGCACTATTGCGCAGCTTCCCGAGCCAACTATATAACTCTTGCGGAATGTCCCGCCCGCACTCAAAGCCCACTTCGCCGCGGACTGCGATCGATGCCGCTGTTGCGACTTGCCTGGCATCTCGAGTGCACAGCGGCGGTCCACTGCCAGCTGTCGCAAAACAGACCTCGCAGCTTGCCCTCGGGTACGGCGGACCTGGGCTGCGCTCAGCATCTGCGGACCGCCATGCCGCCTACTGGGCTTGCTGGCTCGATGCACTGCTTGCAATCAGTGCTCACTCCAGAAACCTCCTGCACGCGCACGCCGCGCCCCATGCCAGCAGCTCGACTGCCGTCGCGGCGGCAGCACAAGCCGCCGACCACCTCGCTGCCCACGGCTGCCACATCCACGCCTGGGAGGCCCCAGAGCCGCGGCACCTAGCGCACGCCGACGCTCACAACAAGCCAGGGCATCGTCTGCGAGGCTGGCAGCGGCACGCCGCCCGCGCCTGTGACCAGCGCACGTTCGCGACGCCACCGTGCGCGGCTGTTGTCCCAGGTTGGGCCACATACCTCTTGCTGCTTCACTGTCCGATCTGTCCGCCCTCCCCACGAGGCAGTCACCATTCCTTCGCCGAGTTCCGAGTGCTCCTCCTGCGCTGCCTGCGCTTAGCGCTGCCGCTCGACTTTGTGCCTGCCGTGGTCTGCTTGACCTGCTCGGCGACCACCACGCAGCCTGTGCGACCTCCGGTGCTGTTGCCTCTTGCGCTGTGCCACTTGAGCGTGCTGTCGCCACGGTCTGCCAGAAAACCAGCCCTAAGCTCGCCCGCAATGTGCGCCTTGCAAACTTACCGCGACGGCAGCGTAGCGACACCTACTCGTAGCCCGAGCTGTCGCACTCGCCGCAATACCGCCTTGTTGTTTTCGCAGATGAGGCCGCTGGGGTCCCGAGCCCGCAGCTTTCCTCAGGCTTTTGGCACGAGCGCGAGCTGCGCGTGCGCACGTTGCCGTTCGCTCGGCTCTGCGGGCGCCTATATATGTGTCTCGCTGGAGTTGCATCACTGTTGCATCATCGCTGTCGCGGCGCAGCGAGCCCTCCGCCTTTTTGCTTGATCAGCGAAGGCGATCGCGGCTCCGTCACGCGAAGCAGCAGAGAGCTGGGCCCTCCCCTTCCATAGTCGGCGAGTCCTTGCCAGGTTGGAGGCAAGGATCGACTGTCGTCCCCAGTTGTCGCTCAAAGCTTGCAACTGGGCGCTGCCCAGTCGGGCTTTCGATAGCCAAGGTCGCGGTTCCAACATCAGGGCGGCAAGGCGACCTCCACTTTTTTTTTTATTTTGCAAATGCCTTTTTTTGTTTTACACGGCTTTTTCCGTCAGCAGCAGGGTCCCGCTCCTAGCAAAAGCACGGTCCCGTGTTAGGGCCGGCTCAGCGCAGGCGGCTCGGCCCGTCTGGGTCGGCGAGGTGAAGGACTTCATCCAGGGCCGGCGCATCAGTATGTGCCGGTCCCGGCATGGCCCGGGCACGTCCCAGCGCCGTGTGAGTAACGGCCTGCTGAACCGCTGGCAGCTTTCGCCGACGCTTGCACAGCCGGTGGGGCTCGGTGCGCGCGGAGGGCGACGAGGCGTTGGACCAGCTTCTCTGCGTCAGCATTCCACCGGCCACCCACTTCGCATCCGAGCACGCAGAGGGCTTGCGCGCCACCTGTCGCGAGCTCAGGGTAGGTGGCATGCTTGCGCCAATCTTGCGCCGGTAGGCGGTGCGCAGAACAGCTCCATCCTGGGCGGCCGCGCCGGGGTGGGGCTCGCCATCGCGTGTGAGAGGCGAAACGAAGGTCGCATCACAGCATAGCGCACCACCCAATGGTGCGGCGCCGTAGATGACAAGGTCAAGGCGCCTGCGATCGTCGGGCGCGATGCCTGGCGCGGTGGTGTTGACGAGCCATTGTTGCGGCACCACGTGTCCCTCAGGCCCCACGGCTTCGCGAGCAACCTTGCGCCAGGCTCGCTCAACAAGTTTGGCCCGCCTTGCCAGGAAGCCGGTGCGAGGGCATGCAAGTGCATGATCTCCAAAAGCACCCGCACGGCGGCCGCATCCAGGTTCCGCAGCGCTCCCGCAGCGGCCGGGTGCGAGCGGGAGTTGCGGACCGCCCAGTCCGAGAAGGCCGGGCACCGTTCACGGAGCACACTGAGGGCATCGGCCCAGGCCGCCCAATACGCCGCCGGGCCGGTGCGCGTGGCCTGCGATATTCCCAGCCCGCCAAGGCTGGCCGGGAGCAGGGCGATGTCCCGAGCGGGGCATGCCTCGTCCTCCGCAGTAGCGCCCAAACGAGCTTGTAGGGTGCCCCAGACGGCTTCATCACGTGCTGCAGTGTATGGCGCGAGGAGGTCGGGAGGAAGAGTCCGGAGTGCATGGTTAGCACGGAGTGCGGCGCAGAAGCTGAGTATACGAGCCACGCGCACTGAAGATCAGGCAGCTTGGGAAGCTGGCGAAGCAGCGTGTCTTCGGCTTCGAGTCTTTCGGCGCCCCAGGCGCGGACGTACTCCGGGGTGCCCAGTGCGACGAAGCCACGTTGCTGCGGGGGCCGGCTGCCACGCCAGGTCTGCGATTCCGGGCGGCGCTGGGCCAACTTCGTAGTTGAAAACACGCGTCATGCCCAGGTTGGCACATATGCCGGCATGTGTCTCGACCTCGCGTGTCACCAGATCCAAGGCGGTACGCGCGCGCGGGATGGTTCGGGCGGAAGGACATAGAGGTCGTCAAGAAACGCTATGAGCGATTCACCCTGACGTAACTGCGCATCTGCCCGTCGCAACGCCTCATGCTGGCCGAGCGCGAACAAGGCGGGGGCAAGGGGGTCGCCTTGTTTGCACCCCTCCGCTTGGGGTATGCCGTGGCGGACCCCATCGTCATCCCACCATTGGTATTCAGACTTCTGGCCGTATCTTAGGCGTCAGCGCAGGTGCGACATCGCACAGTTTCTGCAGGAACGCGGCACGGGAGATGCAGTCGTACGCACTACGCCCGTCCAGCGAAACGACGGTGGCTCGAGCATCGTTCTCCAGGGTTGCACGGAGTCGCGCTGACAGTGCATCCACTCCCGCTCGAGTGCGACGTGCGAACTGGTATGGCCTGGTAGCCTGATCGAAAACCGGCGCCCACGCGGGCCGACGGAACATGTCCCCCGTTGCAATA